ACACGCTGCCTCTGGCATTGGAGACAGGCCTATGAGACTGCCTGGCAGGCAAGTTTGCTCTGTCCAGAGGCTTTTTGAAGAGTTTTAGTTCAGCCATTGTCACTTCACTGTTTTTAGGTATTCTGCCCTCCATGTCAAAGACCAGGTTCTGGCGCATGGTAGTGTCAGAGTAGAGGACTTCTCCTGCCATGCCTGTGCACATTGAGAACAAAAAAGACAGCCTGTCACTGACATCTTGGTGAGCAAAGGCCCCACACTTAGTCCACAATTATAATCACAACACACTCCTTCTGTGCTCCCACATCAGCTGCTATGGCAGGGGCAGCCACTAAACATCTTTTCCAATGCATACTTGAATCAATGTCTTGCAAATGCCCTAATTATTCTTCTATGTCTGAGTCTCTGCAACCTGGAGGCAGCTGAAAGTCGTCTATATAAGTTGTCCACAAATAGAGCAGACAACTCTCTGTACCAGTGCTGGGCACCAAAGCAGGAAACTGCTGCGCTTGCAATGAAAAAGTGTTTTCATTAAACATCTTTTCCAATGCATACTTGAATCAATGTCTTGCAAATGCCCTAATTATTCTTCTATGTCTGAGTCTCTGCAACCTGGAGGCAGCTGAAAGTCGTCTATATAAGTTGTCCACAAATAGAGCAGACAACTCTCTGTACCAGTGCTGGGCACCAAAGCAGGAAACTGCTGCGCTTGCAATGAAAAAGTGTTTTCATTTGCTGTCAAGGGTGTTATGTACACATCGTACTATTGTGTCTGTAGAACTGATTTCCTCCTTGATATTTTTCCCAGCCAAAAAAAAAAAGACCTGCAAGAGTAAAACAACCTGAAAGAGGTGTGATTCCTATTAGAGGACTTTCTGGAGCTTTGACCCAAAACCTGTGAGGTCTGTACTTTCTACTGACTTTTTTTTTTTCTTTACATTTTTTTTCCACCTGCCCAAAACGTTGCCTGAGTACCAAGGCTATTCTCTTCTATCAAGCTCCAGCAGCAGCTTGCCCTTTGCAAGGACTGAAGGACCTTCCCTGCTCCAGATGCAAGGAGTTACTAATGCATCTTAATCCTTAAGATGCTGTTACATGTACCCGTTCTACCCGGCTCAGGTTCGGAGGCAGACCCAATCCTCATTCCCCCTGTGGGTTTGCCTCTACCAGTCCTGCAGCCAGACGGGTGAGCGCAGGCAGCTTGCCCTGGCAGCGGCATGGTGCTCTGTGAGTCCCTGACAGCGACAGCAGAAACGTTACCTGTGTTGCCAGGAATCCCCCTGAGGATGCTGGCCAGGCTTGGCAAAGCTCGGCGCTTCACTCTGTTGCACTTCAGCATGGAGAGGTATTTGTTCTTTACGTGGTCTGGGATCACCAGATCTATCAGGTCTCTCTCATGAAGTTTAGGGACCTCGGAGAGCCCCAGCTGCTTCAGTAACATCTCCTTGAACCCTTCCTGGGTAAATGCTTGGGCCGTGATGACCAGGCAGAGCGTGCAGAGCATCCGGGCAAATCTCTCATCCATCCTCCTCTGTCAGTGAAGCAGCTGCCTGCTTGGCAGAGATGAAGGGGGGATGTCCCCAGGGCTGCTTTCAGCAGAGATGTGGGGGCAGGCTGCCTGAGTGGGATGGAGGTCCCCTGCGCTGGGGTTTTATAGCCAGCCTTGTCCCACTGGCACAACAAATTCCACAAGTGGGGACGAAGAAGAGGACTTAAAAGGATCACTCCCAGTCAATAGAGACATGCCAGTTTAACACCTTCATCTACCACAAAGTTAATACAAGAAGGTGTAGGGGAGCTTCCACATTCCTTCTCAGGGAAGAAGTTTCCATCCCTTTTTAATACTCTGAAAACTTTTGCCCAGAAAGCCTCTGAGTGATCAGTGTTTCACGTTCAGCCTAGGTCAGGGAGGAAACACATCTGCAGAGTACACTGCTTTAGGTACCACACCATATCATTCTTAAAGGAAACGTCGATCTTTATCACAGGGACTTGCTACCTAAAATAGCCAATATCAATCAGGAGAATAATGCTTTAGCTGGAAGTCCGTCTTTATGGCAAGCATTAAAAAATAATTTAAAACCTTTTTTTAGGGGGTAGGTACAGCGTTGATCTCTGAGTATTTGTATCAAGTGTAGGAATCAGGGCAGTGAATCACAGCAGTTGAATGGTTTATGACCTTTTACACTGCTGCTGAATCACAGAAGGTGGAAGATGTACAGGTCTGACATTTTAGGAAAATGTCCCATCTTTATTAATTCCTGTGGGTTTAACAACACCTGTGCTTAAAAGAAAGAAGGCTTTAAGTAAAGGCAGATCACCTTTCATGAACATGAGAAACCACTCTGCTTTTCCACAACATGGATGAAAAATATTGGTATTTTCAATGCTACCAGCAACCACAGTGGAGAGCTGTCTCTGGAGAGCGAAGCTGACCTACAGGCTGGGGCTGGGGGGGCCGGTTGGATGTTTGCCTTGAAGTCAACCTTTAAGCTTGAGGCTCACATCCTTTGCTCCCCTGGCCTTTGCTGGCATAATATGCAGAATTCTATTTTTGAAACCAATCCCGGGAGAAGTGAATTGAAAAAAATAAAATGTGATCGATAAAAGTGTAGAGGAGCATGGCACTTGGGGCAGATTCTCATCCTCTCCAGCAGTAACATGCCTGAGCATACATACAAATGTCTTCAGCATTAAAAGGTCTTTGAATTTTATATGTCTCTGCAAATGATTTAAAACTGGTCCAGATTCATCCAATGTCCAGGCTGAATGGTGTGCCCTGAGAAAAGTCTGTCTGGAGGACTCAATGTAATGAACTTGTACAAAAGCACCTTGGTGTGGTTCAGTCCTCAATAAAACAAGTGTCAGCCCTGGCAGCCCGTTTTGTATGCACAGGAAGGCAGTAAAGCTGTCTGAAAGACCCTAATTAAACACTTCTGTTACTGCTCATTTTGTCTTTATAACCTATTAAGAAACCTGTCTCCTTAAACATGATAAAGTCACACCTTATTTAGTTGAATTGAGTTTTAAGGCTAAAATGGAAACATAGATTACAAACTAACTATTTGTGTGTGGCCCAAGGCAGTACATTCTTTAATCTTTCCCTTTGTGTAGCATCTTTCTCTGAACGAATCAATATTTTCTGTTATATTCATTCCCAAGACACAAATAGGCATGAAAAATATCCACTTCGTCTGGCTGCCTCAGCTTCAGCTCATGTCCAAAACTCCTGCTCTTGTGAATAAGAGGAGGGAAGGTCTTTTTGCTGAAATCTCTGTGACACTTTCAGCCCCTTGGGCAGGCTCCGTACACCTGGCTGTTCCCTCCGGGTGCCTCCCCAGCTACATGGCACACCACTGACTTGCACGGGATGGGACAGATGCAGCCACACAAGGAACTGCAGAGCCTTTGGTTGCAAACTGCACCTAAGCAATGTTCAGGTGGTTGACAAACTCTGTAATTCAGTTCCAGCACTGAATTTATGATATTTGTATAGTGAGAGTAACCTAGATAAAACTGCACTTCATGCATTTGTAATACTCTCTCTTTAACCATATCGGAAGACCTGATCCTGTAGATTTTCATCCATCCAATTAGTCTTTGCTTCAGAGAGTGGTCCGACTATGTCATGAGGGCTCTTCAAAAAAACCCCATGATTACATGAAATGAAAAAGCCCAACTGTTCCCCACAGCACCCAGCTCTCCTGGATCTGGATATGGCTTCTCCTGTGGTTGATGTCTCATCTACCAGGACTCCTCATTGTCCAATGTGTATTGGAAGGTGATTTATGGGCTTCACATGTAAAATAAAATTATTGACCAAATGCAGTTGAAGCTCAACTAAGAAGAAAACAGAGGATGTGGATTGTAGGCTTTTCACAGGAGAGTGATTATCTGGTCCAATTGGAGGATTTGCCATTCCCCCTTTGTCATGCAAACAAGAAAAAGTCAGGAATTTTATAATAGCTCTTTTTGTGTAATGTGTATTAGAACCCCAAGGCACATTCAAAATGTCAAACAGAGGATTTAAAGAGTCTGCAAGGGATCAAGTATGAGCAACTCACTGTTTTAATAAAAGCCAATACTTAGTGAAGAGAGAATGTCCAAATTTAAGCTTTTAATTTAGTTACAAACAGTTCTCTAAGACATCTGCTGGGCATATCTATGCAAAGATTTTTGGTAAATAAATCCAATGGGTTAAAAGAGAAAGTGTGAAAGGCTTAGCCTAATTATGTAGCTATTACCCTGGAAAACAAAAATTTATTAAATGCAGTTGTCATGTGTCGGTGAGGATCCAAATATTTAATTTCTCAAAATTTTAATTTCCATGGACATACTTATTTTGTATTATAATTGGCCCCATATTAGAACAGCCTTTGCTTGAGTGATGTGAAAGGGAACAATTTTTGTGTGCTCCAAGGGATGCCCTGATTTATGCATCAGACTTCTTGCATTGAGATGGGAGTACATCTCTATGTCAATTTTGGTCTGCTTTTCCCAAAAGTCAGGGTCTTCTGAATCTAAGAATCTGGAAATAAAAATAATAGTGATTAAGATGCAGGTATAACTTGTCAAGTTAAAGAAGAATTCAAGTAGAGATTCTGTTTCTTACTTTTTTTCAGTCTTAAGTGCACAGACTTTTACATAGTTAACAAAAAACCACAGAAGAGGCTGGTCACGTGAAGTGCTGGGTTAGAGGTTTCAAAAGTGGAAGTAAACTGCAGGATGTGCCACACCAACACCCCTCAACAGCCATCAGCTCGTGCTTTGAAATTAATATTCCCATCAACATTTAAAACCCAGGCTACACACCTTTAACTGAGATTTCACAGGCATCTTTGTCTTCCTTCTTGACTGGCACAGTCCATGTTGGTGGTGGCACCTCTGTTCCTCTACAGGGACCAGCTCTGTGTCAAACAAGTCCAGACAGCGAGTGTGAAGCTCATCAAGCCCACTGCTGGAAACCATCCCACTGCCAGCAGATAGCAGCTCCATTTCACTCCATCTGGGTCTATGCCTAATTTCTAAATAGAGACCGAGGCAAAATGCACTTCCATTTCCCACCTCCTGAGCTTCACAGCACCTTCATCACAGGACGAGAGTGAGGTGTCACCAGGAGCAGGAGGCAGCGTTTGCTGGTCTTGTGGCTTTGCCTGCCCTCGGGGCAAGAACAGCTGGGGGTGTAGCACAGTGCAACACTTGTCCCTCCCACTAGAAAGGCAGTCCTGTATTTGTACTATACTTGTTCCTTGAAAATGGCATATGCCTGCTGAAAGTTTCTGGAAAAAGATCTTGCCAGAGTGGTGGCTTTCTGTCCTCCTCTACCTCTAGAGACATCTACTCTTTTCATTAGGGCATAAATAGCTTGCTCAGAGTACAGAGCCAGAATAACAGCACCCAGGACTTCAGTGGGGCTGGTATAGCTCACTGGAGTTTGCATGTGCGCTCCCCACCGCCTCAGCCTGCTCTGCAAGAACGTGGCATGGAAAAGTTTCATAAGATATGGCCTGAAAACACAAGACATCTAGCTCTTATCTGGCTCCCTGAGCCAGACTGAAAACAGCAGAGCCACTCAATGCAGAGTGTTGATCAGCACTAAATCCTTTCTGCTGGTTCTAATTAATTCCAAAAATTTAGCCATGCTAATTTTTGTGCTAAAAGGCTTTGTGCTTGATCAGGTATTGCTTGATTTACCTGTCCTTACAAATGCATTTCCATGCATCCCCCCCAAGAAGCATAAAATCATAAAACGGGGTTTACGTCTGTATTGTGAACTCTGGCTAATACGGCTCTGGGAAATACAACTTTATGTCCCTTGTCTGCGCCGAGTCACATTTATTCTGACCTGATAGCGCACAGATCTCATACCAAAGACACTGCAACTACGGCCTCCATCCCTAACTTTTACTCTGCCTGCCAGCTAAGGAAGCAGTTTCAGTAGCAAGCTTTGTGGTGCAAACAATCATCTGCTTGAGTTATACAGAAATTATCCCATTCATTTGATCTAAGCAAGGACATGAGCTTGCTTTTCCACATTGCCAGTCTAGGCCAGACTGAGCTGGTCGTCTCCAACAAAAGTATCTTACAGATCACATGTCCCGCTGAGTTCCTCTTGTAAATGCTGGTGGTGAAGCCCCAGGCAGCAATGGAGGTAACGTTCACTTATGCATTTATCCCACAACATATCCGGTATAGTAAAAAGCACATTTTATTTGAGAGAGAGATTGCAAATCTGGTTTGATCTCAGTTCATGTTAATGTCTGGTGCTGTGTATTTTAGATTGCATCAATTTAAGCACGCCTTTCATAGGCAGCCTTCTGCTTTCACTCACGGGCTTGCTTTGGTCAAATGGCCCGGACAAAAGGCTGCCTGTTTGAAGAGGAATGGATAAAATGTGCAAAGTCCCACCATGTCCTTGGTCAGCTGATGTCAGCTGGCTCGCTCACAGGGTTTGTGCTGGCAGCATTTGCAACGTGCCAGTGTTCTGGCAGAGAAGATATCTCCAAAATTTAATTATTTTTTTTT